TGAGACTCTATCTTGGGACATATTATGCCAGTCCATGTTTGGGATGCAATTCTACGCTTCGCCATTTGCCACATTAATTTGGTTATGTTGTTGTCAATCATTCTTGTGATTGGGAGGGTGCGCACTTCCCAAACCCAAGAGTTGAATGATTCTGCAGTATTTGAACACATCTCACCATAATGCCTCCCCTTGAAAAATGAGTTGTACATTTCCGGTAATAAATAAGACCATTATGACGAACATGTGGTGTACATGTGAATTATTGGAGGAACATGTGGAACATACCTGAAAAATGCATTTGCCCAATGTTGTGGATGTGCCCTTACTAGGAATTCGGATGCAACTGCTCATCCCCGATTTATGGAATAGTTCAACTTTGTGGTTGAAAGCGGTAACAGTTGGTGCGTACGCGCAATGTCGTAATTTGCTTACCAAACTAGCCTGATGCATATTGTTTGAGTAACGCAGCCTGTCCCTCAGATTCCTTTGCAAATGTTTGAGATAGAATGCATGCTCTGCGTTTGGGAATACGGTTGGCGTCGCTTCAAGCAAATCGAGATTCCGATCTGATACGAAGGTTAGAGGTCTGTCCCCATGCAACACCTGAGTGAGATGTTGAAGAAACCAAGAGCAATTTGCGGTGTTCTCGAAGTCCACAACTACATAAGATAAGGGGAACAAACCTGCGAAGTCAAATAAAAGTTTAGGATTCATTATATTATGTTAACGCGATTTGTGACAAAAATGTAGGCAGAGTGGGTCAATGCCTGCAAAAGAGATTTTGAATGTGCTATGTTTGGTTGCACTGTGAATGGTGAAGTATTGTTGTATAAGTTAAATGTACTGACCTTGGTTTCCTTCTCTCGCAGTGATGGCAAGTAAGAACCCTTTGAATCACCCATTGAGGAACGTGGCGTTTAGGAAAAGTAATGGACGACAATGGTTGAACCCGTCGATACATGCTTTGAATAATATGAAGTATCGTGTGAAACAGTGTGTGTGTTTATCGTACTCGATATTGATGTAGGTACCGAAGTTGTGTTCCATTGCTGCGTTGCTATACCAACATAACTGATCAAACGAAATGGAGTGTGCATTGAACAGTTCACCTCTCGCTTTTTTGACACCTAGCCACGCCACATGGTAAGTGATGTCGAGGCCATAATCTTGTTTCAAGTCCAATATAACTTTGATGGGATGAGTTAGTGGCCTTTCACGCACACGTTTGGCTATGATGTCGGCGACAAGATCAGAACCAACGAGTGGGTTTGTGGATGTACGGACAACGACGCCACACATGTGTTCACTGTTCTATTTACGCAGGTAGAAAAACCCGTTAGCCTCCAATTTTCATCTGTGGATAGCCCACGTACTACCCTTTGATTTGTTCATAACACAACTAGTCGTTACCTAGATGGAGTCGTTTTTAACAAACTTGATCTGGAACCCACATTCAACAGCGTATTTTTGTAAGACGTTGCCAAATTTGGAAGCCCCACCTTCAAAGTGTTGTTCGATGTAAGTAAATCTATTTGCCCATGGAGCGGAAAGGAAGACTTTTTCTTTGTGTGGACAAAATGATTGTAGTAGGTCGACTTCATTGTCCATTTCCAACTCACTTAGTATCGTAGGCCCAGCCATGACATGGGCGTGAGTGGTCATTAGATCATTGCCAGGAGTATTGTTCCTCCCCCCTCTCCCCCCAAATGGTGTTGTTCGATGATCACGTCAACTATCTGCAAGCTAAACGAACAGGCAAGGCAAATCATATTCTACATGTTTACATCATTCTGTAATGTGAAGTTGTTATAGCTCGAGATCTTGTAGAACAACAGAACCTTCTCTAGTAGGAGCCCGTCGAATTTCAAACAAACAAAATCGACAAGTTCATCAAATGTGTCCGACGATTGCAAACTGTATGCAACATTTGTGGACCGGTAACAACATAGAAGCATCATGAAGGCGTCTATCTACAACATAGCACAGGTATTTGTACATAAATATACACGATTAAAGATATGAAAACGATCCGTGAAAACGAAATGAAATAATTACGATAGGAATACAACTGAAATCCAGATTGTGCATCGTTGTGTATGTGCTGTTAAGAGGGCATATCAGTTGGGAACACATGATTTTGGGAGTTGTAACTGGGCAATGAATGTTCTCCAGTTTTGTTCCACTAGTGGGGTGTGAACGGAAACATTGATTTGTGCACTGGTATGAATGTGTGGGAATGATGGGGGAGAACTCTGTAATGAAAAGCTCCAGACATACCTGTGTGCAACGGTGGCGTTGACGTTAACTGCTGCACTTCTTGACTGTCACGCAGAACAAAATGAACTCACAATGTAATCCCTAATTGGAAATCCACATAAACAAATCTTCACCACTCGCAGCCCCACAAATCTTGAGATTACACATACAAAAAAAAAAAAAAAAAAAAACAAAACAAAATATCCCCATAGAATATGTGAGGGCATATCTGTCCAGCATGCACCAACCACACTCAAAAAAGGACTTATCAGTGATGAATCCCCCCTTCATATGGACTTGTCAATCAAACAAAAAATCAGTGGGATCAAGCGGAACACAATTCAGCCATATAGGATTTTCTGATAAATTTCTCATTTTTTTATATCTATGTAATAGTTAACGTAGTAATTTTTTATATAATTTTGAATACAAATTAAAGGGTCGTTTGACAATGACTTTTTTAGTTGGCTTTTTGACTTTTTTAGCATAGGACTTTTTTGTTTGTTTGGTTTTCTTGTTTGGCTTTTTTGCATTGGAATGACAAAATTACCCTCCACTTGGAAATGATGTTTTTTTGACTTTTTGTTTATATATGGGTTAGTTTGGTACTTTTGTAGCTTTTCTGTTTTTTTGTGATTTTTTAACTTTTTTTTTTTGTCTTTTTTGTGATTTTTTAGCCCAAATGGTTTGCCAAACCAGGGCTAACTATAAACTCAAAAAAACCTTAAAACATAAAGGGTTAAAATGAAAAAAATAAACATAAAAGATCAAATTGATCAAATATAAAAGGGCAAATTGTAATTTACCCATCTTCTTTAGGGATGTTTTGGGAAATGCATTTTTTGGCTTTACTTATTTTCCTGTTTAGGACTCGTTTGTCCATTATATATTTTAGTCAAAAAGTCACTATAAGTTGTCATATTACTCTTTCTATTTTTTTTGCATATTTTTTCTTAAAAAGCTAAAAAGTTACTAAAAAAAATTGTTTCCAACCGAGGCCTATGAATTTTTTTTAAAAAAATTCGAAAAATATGAGGTTTCTAAATTATAATTGTTTTTTTAAAAATTGAGAAAAAATAAAAATAAGTTAAAATAAGCAATTTAATTTTTTTTTTCATCTTTAGTAATTTTTTTTTTTGAAATTTTTTATAAAAATATATATATTTTTATGTTCGTCTCAATAAGGCGGACAAAAATGTAAAAAAAATTGGCATAATTTTTAAAAGGGAAAATTACATATACCTCCCTTGAAGTTTAGCTAAATTACAGATATCCTTGAGGTTTCGGATATTACATCCCGTCCTCTGAGGTTTATATTTTCATAATAAATTGCCCCCTGAGGTTTATATTTCATAACAAATTTCTCTATAATTGTTATGCAAATATAACCTTCAGCGAAAAATTTGTAATTTTTCAAATCTCAGGAGTATCTGTAATTTAACTAAATCTCGATGATATATGTAATTTGCCCTATTTAAAATAAAAAATACTAAAGACGAAAAAAAATACTTAAAAAATTCGAAAAAAGAGGTGCATCTTTTCCAAAATATCCATAGGCGCTCTCTCTCTCTCTTCCAAACTTTCTCTGTTGTTGTTTGTGGAGAGAGAGAGATGGCACAAGTAGTACAGAGAGCATCGTCGTTGGCAATGAACTCCAGCACAGGGACGTCGGCGGGGGGAGGGGGAGGAGGAGGAAAGGGAAGATCATGGCCGTCAACGACATCGGTGTCGGCTTCAGGTAAGAGAATTCAAAATGATATGTCCAACCTCAACCTCAACCCTCCTTCCTGTTGCTTCGCCGGCCCCAAAGGCGACAGTCTCTATCACTGGGTCGCCACCCTCATTGGTCCTTCTGGTTCCCTCTCTCTCTCTCTCTCTCTCTCTCTTGTTGAATTTGAAATTATAATGCTCAATTTTGAATATTGTTTGAAAATTTACATGTTAGTGTACTGGAGTTAGTTAGGGTACTAGCTAGGGGGAGAAGGAAAGGAAAATTAAAATTACAACAATGATTCATCCTACTAAAAACACTACCACTAATAGCACTAATGCATTAAAAAAGTAAAAAAAAAAAAAAAACAACAATGATAGAGACCACTAATTTTGGAGCTCTAAAAAGACCACTAGACCACTAATGACATATAAGTTGTCATATTACTCTTTCTATTTTTTTTTGCATATTTTTTTTTAAAAAGCTAAAAAGTTACTAAAAAAAATTGTTTCCAACCGAGGCCTATGAATTTTTTTTAAAAAAATTCGAAAAATATGAGGTTTCTAAATTATAATTTTTTTAAAAAAAAAATTGAGAAAAAATAAAAATAAGTTAAAATAAGCAATTTTAAATTTTTTTTTCATCTTTAGTATTTTTTTTTTAAAATTTTTTATAAAAATATATATATTTTTATGTTCGTCTCAATAAGGCGGACAGAAATGTAAAAAAATTGGCATAATTTTTAAAAGGGCAAATTACATATACCTCCCTTGAAGTTTAGCTAAATTACAGATACCCTTGAAGTTTCGGATATTACATCCCGTCCTCTGAGGTTTATATTTTCATAATAAATTGCCCCCTGAGGTTTATATTTCATAACAAATTTCTCTATAATTGTTATGCAAATATAACCTTCAGCGAAAAATTTGTAATTTTTCAAATCTCAGGAGTATCTGTAATTTAACTAAATCTCGATGATATATGTAATTTGCCCTATTTAAAATAAAAAATACTAAAGACGGAAAAAAAAACTTAAAAAATTCGAAAAAAGAGGTGGCATCTTTTCCAAAATATCCATAGGCTCTCTCTCTCTCTCCACTTTCTGTTGTTGTTTGTGGAGAGAGAGAGAGAGAGAGAGAGGGCACAAGTAGTACAGAGAGCATCGTCGTCGGCAATGAACTCCAGCACAGGGACGTCGGCGGGGGGAGGAGGAGGAAAGTGAAGATCATGGCCGTCAACGACATCGGTGTTGGCTTATATGTCCGACCTCAACCTCAACCTCAACCTCAACCCTCCTTCCTATTGCTTCGCCGGCCCCAAAGGCGACAGTCTCTATCACTGGGTCGCCACCCTCATTGGTCCTTCTGGTTCCTTCTCTCTCTCTCTCTCTCTCTTGTTGAATTTGAAATTATAATGCTCAATTTTGAATATTGTTTGAAAATTTACATGTTAGTGTACTGGGGTTAGTTAGGGTACTAGCTAGGGGGAGAAGGAAAGGAAAATTAAAATTAAAACTATTGTGCCTTGTCTTTTTTTGAATATGGATCCTCAATTTAAAGCAAACATTTTTAATTCTTTAAAATAAAAAAAACAAAAAAAAAACAATGTAATGATTGGTTGTTAATACACAGACATAAGATAACAGGTCCAATTTTGCATTACCCATTTCTCTGTTGGATTTCTTGGGCTCTTGAATGTGTTGTTTGAATGTAAAATATGAACTAACTTTGCAGTATTTTCTAAATGATATTTTAGTTTTATGGTGCTGACCTTCACTGCACATAATAAATAATTTTAGAAAACAAAAATGTTCTAATCTTGCTTACTTGTCCAGTATGTTTTTGTAAAAGTGATTTCTTCACATTCTTTTTGTAGGAACACCTTATGAAGATGGCATCTTTTTTCTTGACATAACATTTCCGAGTGAATATCCTTTCAAACCTCCAGAGGTATGCTAAAAAACATTCCAAAAAATTACTGAGAATTACTTAACACATTAATTTTATTGTCTCCTCAAAAATGTCACATAAGATTTAGGCCCTGTTTGGAACTTAAGTTTTTAGTTAAAAAAAAAAAAAAAATATCACAAGTTATCAAATCATTCTTTACTTTTTTATATGTCTTTTCGTAAAAAGTTAAAAAGTTACTGAAAAAACCAATTCTTAAACACCGCTTTAGGCTGCATTTGGTTCATAAATTTTGAGATGGGTTTGAAAAAGGAAAATGTGTGTGAAAAATAGATGGATCCTTTCAACTATACATGCTTTAAGGAGTACAAAGTTTAAGGGAGTCCTTGCAATCATGATTCTGCATCTAATGCGTGGATAAATAAGTATAATAGGTTTGGATGCCTAAAGCAAAGTCTACAAGTCCTACAAGGCTATGATCATGAACAAAAAAATTTTGGTCCAAACACACAAGTGTTCATGTTAGTGTTTAGGAGTTTTATTTAAATTTATTCTATCTGATGGGCAAGGCTTTACTGGGAGAAATATAAGAGTGCATGTAACACTATTGGGTATTATTCCATCTTTTTATTTTATAATTTTAGGTTCAGGACTGCTGGTGGTGTTCAAAACTCGTATCTACCACTGCAATGTTGATTCTGCTGGCAACGTTAGTTTAGACGAGTCCAGATCCTCTTCTTGCAAGCCCTCCTTGCAACGGCTGAGATCAGCCGTTGCACATCCAACAACCATTATAAAAAAAAAAAAAAAAAAAAAAAAAAAAAAAAAAAAAAAATTGAAATTACACTTTCCCGCTCAAAAGAAAACACAGCCTATACCGGCGAACCCACCCTCAGAATTGAAATTTCGTTTGGAATCAGATGCACAAAAACACACAGTCATTCCTTCTTCTCCGTCGAACCCACCTTCATCGGCGACCCAATACCGGCGGCGACCCAGTCTCGACGTCGTTGCAAGGACCAACGACGGTGAAACCAGAGGTTAGTCACGCTATGTCTCTGTAAATCAGAGGTTTGCCAAAATCGTGAAACCAGAGCCATATATTTGACATTCATGATTTTGGAGCCATATATATCATCTATTTCCAATACCAATAATATATCATCTATTTCATGATTCACTTTGGAGGCATATCGTGAATCAGTTTGACATATCATCTATTCTATTTCAGTTTGACATTCATTTCCAACACCAATAATATATCATCTATTTCAGTTTGACATTCATTTTGGAGCCATATCGTGAATCAGTTAGCTATTTAGAGCCATATATATCATCTATTTCCAACACCAATAATAATCGTGAATCAGTTTGACATTTATTTTTGATGCGTAGTGGAGATTGAATTATGCTAGTGATTTCTTATCTTAGATTTTTCTACATAAAGTGAAACCAGAGGTTATATTCTAGAATGACAATTGTTGTGACCAATTGAGCTATCAGTTTGACATTCATTTCAACCTTTTGGTATATGTTATATTCTAGATTTGGCCACTAATCTACTTTCAACATGATGTAGACAAAATTCATTGACAATTATAGAATGAGTATGTTAGATTATCTTATTAATTATGCTAACACACACTGTCATGTGCATCCATAATTGAATTATGCCAATGCATTATTATTAAGGATATTGGGTAATCATTTCTTGTTTCTTTATCCAAGTGTGACAGTGAGTTCTTTGATCATAGTGCAGATATTGTGTTTTTTTATGTAGCTAAGATTTTATTTATATGGGTTTTCAGTTGCATTTTCATATGGATATGGAACCTGAGAATGATTGTGCTTGGAAGCCAAAACAGAGAATGACATTCGATTCTGAACAATGTGTGCATGATTTTTATAATACATATGGAGGACAATGGGGTTTAGCATAAGAAGGTATTTTTGTAGAAAAAATAAGTTCACTAAGACTTTTGGTTTGCAACAAGGAGGGATTTCAGAAGGTTGACAAACGAGACCCATTGGCAAAAAACCCTAGAGCTGAAACTAGGACCGGTTGTGAGGCTTGACTTTACGTTAAATTAGATGAGGGTACTGGCAAATTTGTTGTGACTGATTTCAAAGAAAAACATAACCATGATCTTGTATCACCTGAGTGTGCCCACATGTTGCCGTCACAAAGAAAGATATCGACTACCCAAGCAATTGAGTTAGATTTGGCGGCACAATCTGGTCTTCGTTTAGGCCAGTCTTTTGAACTCATGGGTAGGGAAGCTGGTGGGAGGCAATGTCTTGGGTTTACAAAATTAGATCAAACAAATTATTTCAGAACCAAACGACAACAAAGTTTAGCATATGGGGAAGTAGGCAATGTGTTGCAATACTTTAAAGAAAAATCTTTGCAGAATCCTTCTTTCTTTTATGCTTTTCAATTAGATAATGAGGAGCAAATAACCAATATGTTTTGGGCCGATGCACAAATGATCATGGATTATGCCCGATTTGGTGATGTTGTCACATTTGATATGACTTACAAGTTAAACAAATAACATAGACCCTTCGCATCTTTTGTGGGATTCAACCATCATAAGGAAAAAGTTATATTTGGTGCAGCATTGTTGTATGATGAGACTGCCGAATCGTTTGTGTGGTTGTTTGAAAATTTTCTAGAGGCTATGTCAAGAAAGGCACCAAAAACTTTGTTCATCGATCAAGATGCTGCAATGGTTAAAGCCATACCCATCGTTATACTTGGCACAAGTCACCGATTGTGTACTTGGCATTTGATGCAAAATGCATTAAAACATGTTAATTGTTTGTTCCAAGAGAAGGGGGTAAAGGGTGTACTAAATAAATTCTTCTTTGACATTGAAGATGCAAATCAATGAAAGTTGGAGTGGGTGGAAATGCTTGATAAATATGATGCACATGAAAACCATTGGTTGAAATTGACTTTTGCGGTGAAAGAAAAATGGGGCTGGCCATACGTTAGATCAACATGGGCTACGGGAATGAGTACCACACAACTTAGTGAATCTTTTAATGCCTTTTTGAAAGATTACATTCGTTGTGATTTTAACTTGAATGAATTCTTCATGCATTTCGAAACGGTACTTTACGAGAAGCGATACAAGGAGTTAGAAGCAAGATATGCTTTGTGCCAAAGGTTGCCAAAGGTGAAAGCAACAACAAGAATGTTAATTCAAATGGGTAATGTCTACACAAAAAAGATCTTTGAGGAATTTCAAAATGAGTACTTTCGATCCATTGAATCGGCCATAAAAGCAATTGAATATGGCAAGGCTAGTACCATTTACACAGTTGTTGATATTGATAACAAACATGCAAGGAAAGTGAAGATGGAGAGGGATGACTCTTTGGATTGTAATTGTACAAAGTTTGAAAGGGAAGGAATCTTGTGTTGTCACTCATTAAAGGTTATTAGAGACATATTGAAGATGAAAGAGGTTCCTCTACAATACATTCTAAAGAGGTGGACCAACTAAGCAAGAGCCGAAACTGTGAAGGACATTAAGGGGAATGACATTCAAGTAGATGTGAAATTCCAACAAGCCTCGCGGTATAAGACATTGATGAACGCATTTAGAGCACTAGCAAGTAGAGCTGCTGAAACTGAAGAAACTTATGATTTTTGTATTGCACACCTTGCTACATTAGGTGCAAATGTTGAAGGCAAGTTAAGTGCTCATTTTGGTGTTGGAAATGAAGTAAGTAATGATGATGACAACCAAAGCTTTGAAGTGGATTGCGAAGATGTGAATCATGTTGTGCAACCAAAAGGATCGAAGAAAAAGGTGGCAACTAGTAAGGGCAAAATGAGGGTAAAAGGTGGATTCGAAGCGGCGTTGGTAGCGAACTCCAAAAAAAAAATCCCATGCTAATAGTTTGGCTTCATTACAATATATTGCAAGTCCAATAGTTGCACCTTCCCCATTATCTGTTGGAGGAGATATCTATGTTCGACAACATCTTCCTCATCTTCAACCTCTTCTTTCCCTTTATCTTCTTCCTCCATCTTTGGCCATGGGTGGTAATTCTATTCCTCCGCCATTGACGTATCCCACATATCATGTAAGTGTTACTTTAACATTGTATTTTTTGTAAAGCCTAATATATGACATTGTTGTAGGCGAACAATTTGCGGGAGATGTATGTAGTGCCAAATTCAATGCCTCAATGGTATTCTGCTCAACCAACATTCCAGTCACTACTTCAAGGTTCAAGTGGATATGACATTGCGTTTCGATATTCTCAAGAATCAAATAGTCCAATGTGTATTTAGGTTCGTCATTTCAATTTCTTTTTAATTTGTAGTTGTTGAAAATTTTGGCTTTTTAGTTGCTCAAAATTCTGTGATAGCATATATTTACTTGCTGAAAATTCTATCTTTTTCCCTTTTAGGCTATGGACAAGCAAAAACAGAAGCAAACTGATGCTAAAATTGGGCTGGAAAGTGAAGTCATAGCAGCTGAAATTGTGAAGCAAACTGCTACTGGAAAGTAATGTTGCCGGTATGAAGCAAACTGCTGGAAAGCAAACTGTGGAGCAATGTGTGTTCAAATGTTAATGGCTTGTATGTGTGTTCAAAGCAAACTGTGAGGCAATGTGTGAAGCAAACTGCTTGTATGTGTTGAAATGGACCAATGTGTTAATTTTTTGATGGACCAATGTGTTAATTTAGATAGACCAATGTGTTAATTTAGATGGACCAATGTGAGCAAACTTCAGTTGATGTTAATTTACTGTTGATGGTAATTTACACAGCTTTTTCATTTGTTTGAAAAATTACCCCATCTGGTTCTGCGGGTGGTATACTGGTTTTGCGGGTTCTGTTCTCTGTTTTGCTGTTATCTGTTGTGCTGGTTCTGTTCCTTGTTCTACTTTTTCAGCTGTTATCTGTTCTGCTGCCGGTATGCAGGTTCTGCTGTCATCTGGTTGTGCTGGTGGTATGCTGCTAGAACCATAACATGTTAATGATATGCTGGTTCTAGTATGTTGCTTTTGGGCTGATTGGGTTCTTATCTGATCTGGGTCTTTTCTTCATCCACCATTCCTGTAGATTCTTGGTCTGGTTGAGATGAATCACTTATCCAATAAACCAATTTCTTTATCTTTATTTAATCTGAAAGCATATGTTAGTTGTATTGTGTTGATTAGGTCATTAATGAAGAGAATTTTTTTTTAGTTTGGATTATATTTGGATGATCAATTGTTGAATTTAAGATTAGCATACTCAATTTGTTGATTCTCCACATGTTAATGATTTGCATACCCAGAATGTGGTCTGAATCTGGTCTGGATCTGCTGTTAAACCAAAATGTGTTGCTGGTTATGTTGGTGCCAATGTTGGTTCTGGTTATGCTTCATGCTGCTGCCATACTCAGAACATTCCATCATGTGCCAATATGTTGTGTTGGTGCCAATGTTGGTTTTGTTAAACCTAAATGGTTATGCTAGAGCTTCATGTGCAGTGTGTTGCTAACAACATTCCATCAAGTTGAATGTCTTGTGTTGAATGTTTGGATCTGTTAAATGTCTTGTCTTGTGTTGAATGTTGAATGTCTTGGTGCCAAGTTGAATGTTTCCCAAAACTTATTCCATCATTCATTTCATCATTCATTTCATAACAGATAACAAGTTTAATGTTTCCCAAAATTCATTCCATCATTCATTCCATAATAGATAACAAGTTGAATGTTTCCCAAAATTCATTTCATCATTCATTCCATAACAGATAACAAGTTTAATGTTTCCCAAATTTCATTCCATAACAGATAACAAGTTCAACATTAAAAATCATTCCATAAACATAAGTTACATCATAAAGTACATAAAACCCCAAATGGTACAAACTTCCATTCAGTTTCCCAAAATACAATACAGTACAAAAGTTACATCATAAAGTACAAAATGATAGAAAATACAATGAAATACACCATCGTTTTGATATTATTTTCAATTACTTTGCTCAACTGAAATATATATTGTTCTACTAATCAACTGACATGCTTAATTCTTGTAGATAACCCAGTTGTTCCAAGCATTGCTCGCTTGTACTTGGCTGATAAAGCAAAACATGATGAATTAGCTGCAGAATGGACCCTGCGATTTGCGAGATAAATTTGATGAATTTTGATAAAAAGAGACCTTTGTACTTGATAGGTTTTATTTGCACAAGCAGCCTCTTGCATGACCATCATGTGTAGTGAGTGATGTCTCCGTTGTAAAAAATAATTAAGCATGAATGACTGATAATTAATTGCTTTTCTTTAAAATTATTGACAGCCTAGCAACTTAACTTTTCATATATTTGGTATAATTTAAGTTCGTAAGTTTTCAATTTTTTGCTGTTAAGGCAATGGAGATTATCAAATACATATATATATATATGGAAGAGTAACTGTGGGAGTGGTCAATATGAAAAGGATAGGGAAGAAAATAACAACTCTCTTAGTATTGGAATACAAAAATATATCTAGCTTACTCTTAATGGTATTGGGGAAGGGGGAGTCGCTAAGAAGGTGGTGGGCCTGGGTGGAATAGATAGGAGCTAAAAGGGCGAGGTTTGAACATCCAAACTAAAATAAGAGGGATGGGGTAAATACCATTGGGCTAAAAATCCCTTGGCTAGGAGTAAACAATTGAGTTGTGAGGTTCCACCTTCTTTGATTCCTATTTACGGGTACTCTAAAAGTATTACCATACAAGTATCGGATACTTACCGAGTGCAGGTATGCGTATGGGTACACATACTGGTACAGCTGCACGCATACCAGATATGCCGTATACCATTGGGTACGCGGTGGGTACTCAATGGGTTTGGGGTGGGTACTCCATGGGTATTCCACAACAGTTTTTTTTTTTTTTGGTTAGAAGTTGAAATTTTATGCAAGTCTATGGCCTTATTTCTCTTTAATCATCTTCAAAAAATTTATGTAATTTAGAATCACCAACTCTTTGTTGGAACAATCTTCTATGTAAATAAAATAACTTGAAATAAATTCAAACAAAATAAATAAATAATATACCAGATTTATTTGTCGAACCGAATAATAATTAAGACCAAGTCGAGTGTGTGACACTCTATCCTTAAGATAGATTCGCCCCGCTACGGTACTTACGGTTGAGCGGCGTCTATCTCCCAGGATACAATGATTTTCACAAATTGTAGTAGTACTCCAAACAATTTGTTTGGCGAACCAAACTTGTGTTTTAACTCTCTGAATTTATTCTTAAATCTAAAATGAAGAATAATACACTAAAAATAATTTGGACAACAAAAAGACAAAATATAAGACTGATTTTTTTTTTCTTTTCCATACCCAAAATTGTTGGTAAACCCATGTATTTATAGGCAACTACATAGACCCGAAAAGGTGTAAAATGGTAATGAACAGGTGCCCAACTGTTTTGAACAGATGCACTTTCTTAATTCAAATCAATTTGACCGATAGTACCTGAACACTATATTTCAAATTTAATTGAAAAAAGTGCCGTTGGGCCGTTGGTGGAACAGTTTCCAATTGTTAGAACTTTTATTAATTAAACCATTGAAATATATATATATATATTATTAAACTATTTGAATATATATATATATATATATATATTAAACTTATTTGAATAATTTAATAAATAAAAGAAAATGTTTCTCTTTCAAAAATTATATCAAAAAAAATATATTTATAGATCTCATTATGGGCATGGCTCTTATTACATTAATTTTAAATTTATATTATATCTAGGGTAAATTTTTTAAATTTATGATATATTTATTTATTTATTTATTTATTCATACATGAAAGGATGGGTCTCAAAAATCTCAGGCCGGCGGCCCCAATTATTGTGTAAGCATACAAAAAATATCATTTAAGATACTAATTTGTATTTCTTTTTAATATATTTCATTAATCATGTTTTTATAATCAAAATAAATTAATCATTAAATTTATATACACTTATAAAATGAAAGTAAATTTAACCATAAATCTCATATAAAGGAATATTGATCCATTTAGCCTCTGTTTGGCAAGTTAGTTTTCAGGCTTTTTTGGCTATTTTAGCCACAAAAAACAAAATAGGCTATTTTAGCCATAACAAACAAAATATCACATCCAACTCAATAAAATAAACGATTCAGATCAATCAAAACGGAACTCGTAATGGGTCTCACGAACCCAAACAACGCCATTTAATCCAAAATCTATATCGAAGGAAATCCTCTTCCTTTTAAATAAATCTTAAAAAATATATTTATAATTTACCATATAAATTTTGGGATAAATTACAAATACATCTCCTGAGATTTGCTTACAGTACAGATTGTCTCTATAGTTTGAAAAATTATAAATACCCCATTGTTAAAAAATTTTATTTAAAAGAATTAATTAAAAAAAGAAATTCAAAATTGCTCTTCTATATAATAATAAAATTACCTAAGTTATTAATTGAAACGCATTTATAACATTATTACAAACTGTTAATTGACTTGATAATTTATTAATAAAATAGACGATTTGTTATAAAATTAAAAATCTCAAGAGTAAAATGTAATTTTTAAAACTACAAAATTAGCCTTTCAAATTGTTATATCCTGAATAGAGATTGTATAATATAATTCTTTACTAGAAATGACTGAATGTTTGATCTTGACAAATAAATGTTATTGGATATGAATATTACTATTTTTGACTGACCCTCACATCAATGGTCTTTTTTTTTCTACTAAGTTATTACTTACAGATGGCTCCAAAGCAAACAACAGAGCAGACAAATTAGTAAGTGCAATTTTTTATTTTTTTTTACCTGTTTGAACCTTTTTGACCGGTTTGAACCTACCTATTTGAAAGGGAACCGGTCGACCGGTTGGTCTCCTCCAACAGTCACGCACAGTAAAGTAGTGAAATCTGTACCCTGTTCTCACTTTGATGGATTTTTTGGTGAATTCTCATTTTAATACCAATTTGCTGAAACCATTAGAACTCCAAAAAGTGACTTTTTCACCAAAATTTAAATCTGAAGTCAGGTTTGGTTCATCGTTGGAGATGCTCTAACAACTTATCAAAAAGGGCAGAAGTTATTGATTCGTCCTAGAATATCAGCTTGTGATTGATGGGATGAGTAAAATTTAATGTGTGGATATAGCTTATTTGCTTATCTGAGAATGTGGCTATTGTTGTTATACATATCTGTTGTAGAATGTGGATATAGCTTATATGCTTATCTGTGAATGTGGATATTGTTGTTATACATATCTGTTGAGAATGTGGATATTCTATATGCTTATCTGTGAATGTGGGATATAGTTTTTATACATATCTGTTGAGAATGTGGATATTCTATATGCTTATCTGTGAATGTGGGATATAGTTTTTATACATATCTGTTGAGAATGTGGATATTCTATATGCTTATCTGTGAATGTGGGATATAGTTTTTATACATATCTGTTGAGATGATGATAGAGCTAATATGCTCATCTGTTAAAAAGGGGAAAATGAAAAGTAACTTGGACTCATAAGTCGTATGACATAAAATGTGATTTATGCGGATGTATCAGTGTTGGCCATCTATCAATTGCTAATCTTTTAGTCATTGTTCATGGTTGGTTTAGTGTATTTCTACTGGGCTGTGGCTCACCCTATATGGGAATATCATTTTCAGGTACAGGTAGCATGCCACCTCCAAGGACATAGCTTGGGAGGCTAGAGGCGGACATACTTTTGTCGTTTACTTTTTGATGTATTACATGTAATTCAGGCCAAGGGCTTAATGTGTAAGAGTTA